TATCATTAGGTAAAAGTGAAATTGATGTATTACCACTTTATACGGGATACCGCAAACATAATAGGTAGTGCTGATAGAACTCATTTGAGTTGATTGCCTGCCATGTAATTTAGCCAATATGACTGTAAATATTAACCTAAATACCTCTCAGATATTTGTAACCTGAAAAATAATCCAGAGAATCTTGGGTACAGTTCTTGGTGGTTACTCAAGTAAGCTGAAATAGGACTATAAACTTTCACACTGCTTTGTTATTCTTAACACAGCTCAGATAATTTCCTTCTTGTATTTGCTTTTGGATCTACTACCTACTGTGAAAGTTTTGTTGTAAAAGAAGTTGCTTTATGTGAGCAGAAGGGATAATATCCAGTGTTTGAGTTGGGTTTTTTTGTTTTTTTTTAAACAGAGGTAGAAGCTTGTTCCACTTTAGTGTTGTTATCATTGTTTATTTAATGATGTTTTCTAAATGTAAACCTTAATGGTGAGATCAAAGGCAGTTATGCTTGCTATAACCATAGAACACAAATCTACAAAACCAACTTCTAGTTACAAATGCCAGCCTGAAAAAAACCTCACACTTTTTTCTCCTCAGCATGTGCTTGTCAACACACACATTCTGTACAATGTGATAAGACACTTTTAGTTAACATGTTCATGCAACCAAAATAGATTAAAGGCATGTACTGAAATTTTTAAGACAGTACAGACTAAACAATCAAGACTTTAAGGCATGTTAGAAACAGGGAGGGAAAGTAATTGTGCTCATTTATTCAGTTTTAAAAGGAAACAAAAATTATTACATACCCTTCTAATTGACAGTCAGAAATGGATCTTTTGAAATAGTAAGCATACAAAAAAATCAAGTTTAGGAATATGAGAAAAGCACTCACCTAAAGAATGGGACCACTTTACTAAAAAAAAGCCCAAGTACAGTAGATTGCCCAACTAAGTGCATGTGTGTAACTAAAGTTCCAGTGGTCAGCTGCTTACTTTATAGTATCTTTAAAAACTTTATTAGGGTGTTGCTGCTCTGGCCTATAAGAAGCTGGCCTTAAGGTCCTTCTCAATACCTATGTAATTCCCATTGCATGGGATGCAAGTTACAGACTTGTAATAGATGACAAAACTGTCATGCAGTCAAAATCCTGGTTTAACTAGCTACATGCATAGTACAGCAGAGTTAAATACCTTGCTGGGATCCTGCAGCATGCTCTGCTTTCCATCCAACCTGCTAAGCATTCTCGCATCAGTTCATAGCTGTTATAAAGAGCACTGAGGAAACTAGCTCACTTGTGTCCTGAAAGGTTGGCAATTACTATTTTGAGTCCTTATTCTTAAAATGAGTTTTAATATATACTAGAAACCTTGCAGTTCTGCAGTGTCTATTTAGCTAGTCTAAAGAAATTTCTGTTAAGTCCTATCACTGCTGCCAGATGAAAAGGCAAAAAGAAAATCTAAACAAATAGAAGTCAGGATTGTTTTGCATTAACCACTGGCTAATGCTCTGTCCCATAAAATGCGATTTTTTGTGCTTGTGAAGCATGAAAGTGGAGATTTGTTTTTGCCAAGCTGCTCTTCAGATCCCTAGTAATCATATACAGGTTGCTAAAATTGCCCTTTTCTGCATGCATTTTGTATGTAAACTGACTCTTATTGTATTAGGCTGAGGATGGTAGATGATGCTTCCCAGCTGCTGGGACAGACAAGGCATTTCATGACAATTTCTTGAATAATGTTCTGTCCTGTCTCCTGTGCTCCCCCCGCTCTTCTCTCCAGATCAACCTTCCTCCCCCTCAAAAAAAAAGTGCAGTTAGGTGATGTTGCCTAACATTTTAATCCCCTGCTGCTGACCCAACCTAGACATGACATCAGTACTGGGGTAGGGTATATCAGCTTCCTCATGGCAGAACAGAGCATGAAGTAGGAGGAACTGAGCTGAATAGTTCTCAGGGGACAAGAGGGGCGTATTACAAGTTGCATACTTTAAACAAGAGGAATGAAATCTCTTACACCAGGCAGATGGATAGCTGCTTAGATTTTTATCACTTAGAGGCCATTCATACCAAGTCAGGGAAGCTAAACCAAGTTTAAGAGATAATATGGAAGACAGGGCAAAAGCAGACTGATTAAGCAAGTCAAACTCATTTAAAAAGGTTCAGCAGGAAGTGATTTGGTCTCAGAAAAATGAGGCCAGCAGCTAATGCAAAGTAAAGCAACCCACTTTCATAGACAGACAAAAAGTATATGCAAGGGCTGTTATTTTAGTGCAGATGATGTGCTTAAGAGCCACATCTTAATCTGTCTTTGGTAACTTGCTGTTTCAGATACACCCATGGGTGCATCTGGCTATATGTAGCCTAAAGGCCAGCAGTCAAGAATAAAAGGTACAGAACTAGTATCAGTACCTGCTCATTAGGGTTTTTTTGCCTTGCCTTGAGGGTTAGAGAAAATAGCATAAGGACAGCAACGCTCTTAAGTCCAGGCTTTTAACTCCTATGCTTGGGGAGTTTTCAAAAGGCCAATCAAACTGCCCTCAGAACTGCTTTGGGCCATCTGACCAGCGTAAGAATGAGTACGTGGCCTAGTACCCATCTGTTCTATGCCACTAGAAGGGATGAGGTGGTGTTTCTTTTCTGTCTCATCCACAGACAGTGAGATGGAGTGTTTTATGGTTTATTTCCTTTGCCCCCTATCTTTGCCAGCTGCCATGGGTGAGGGTTGGATTTCATAGGTCAGAGACTCATGTGTTGAGTGACACAGCCTGAAACTTCTGTAAGGTAACAATGATTTTTTTTAAAAGCAAAGCAGAAATTGGGTGTTTTGGGAGCAGAGGCATAATTAATATTTAAAAGTTACATAACTATTGAAAAACCATGTTCCAAGTTGCAGTTCAGTCACTTAAAAGAAGCTACAAGAATCATCAGAGATCCTTTTAATCCTATCATCACCCACAATATTCAAAATACCAAAAGATACAGGGTCAATGGGTCACTGGGGATATTGACTCTCTAGTTAAGGGAACGTGAAAAATTTGGAGTCCAACATCTACCTATACTTGTGAAAAGCAAACAGGCAACTACAGATTCACCTAATGTAGGTAAAATTTAAAGAAGGATCATTGATCACTCGGTGGTAAAAGGACCACTGAGTTATGAAGCTTCTGTCCGTACTTTTGTAGAAATTAGAGTGGTATTTGACTTCATCAGTGAATAAGAAAGTACAACTCCTGTTTCAACTGAATGTTACTGAGTGAGCAGCTGGGGTTGCAGAGACATTTTTATTGTTTTGTCCTGTAGATATATGTAATATGCAAAATGCTAGAAATAACTTAATTACACTTCATTTAAAGTTTAAAAGATCCACCTGAAGCATAAGTTTAGCCAAGGCCACAAACTCATGTGAGTTTTAAATATACATAATATCTTACCATGCCAAAGCATCTCAAGGCTTTTATAGAATATCTGTAATACCACTGTTAAATGAACAAAAACAAGCAAGTCTTTGGTTTGAGAGGCAGCAGCCAAAATATTCAGCAACAAAAACAAGTAGCAGAGACAGAATGTCCAGAAATGGAAGAATGAACCAAGGTCAATAAAGAGTACCTAAGGCACCTTGTTTACAGTCATCTTTGCTACACTCCTTAAGACCTCCAAATAATATATAAAACTGCAAATGCTAAGGAATGTGAAGATGAAACAGCGAAGGATAAAATGCATTACAGTCTCACTCCTAGTTAAAATTCCCATGATCAAAGACGTGAATAAACATATTTTTCCAAAGGATATTGAACTAAAGAGAAGAATCAGAGCTAGGAAGATGGATGAAAGGAGGAACCAGTATCATTAAGAGTAAGTTAATTTGATATTCATGAACTGCAAGTCAAAATGAAGTAGAAAAGAAGGCTGGACACTGAGATGTAGATATTTTCTTTAATGTCTAGTGCATTTCTCTGTCTCAAGTACTATAGAAGGTGGAAATACCCCCTTAATTTAAAAATTAAAAAAACAGGAGAGTGCAGTCTGTACTTGCTTCAGGAATGTGCACTGTATAAGTGCAAAACTGTCCTTGCAAAAACAAATATGCAAAGGAGAATTTTGAAGCAGGGTGGAAATTCAGTTTATTCTATAATAAATATTTTAAATCAGCGACTTTCCTCAAATGCAGTATGTATTTGATTGGTAACATAAGATACATCTGAAAACAGACTGGTTCAGTTTTGTTTTGGCCACTCCACCCTGCAAATCAATACCAAATAAGAAAAAATAAAAGGTGGGGGGAAGAATCCCATTACTACTTTGCCTCAGTACTAGATGGTTTGTAAAAGGGAGTCAGCTGTATTGAGTCACTTCGCTGTTCTTTTACTAGGAAACAGAGCTTATAATTAAAGCTCTCTTTAATATAACTGGCTTACTACATGTTTGCTGAACTGGGTGAAAGATGTTCAGTCAGTTTCCAAATTTATGTTCCCTCCCTGCTGCTAGCCAGAGGGAAATTAATCCCTTTGCCTACTTTTCAAGACATAGAAATAAAGAAAAACCCTCTATCCATCTCAGTCTCTGGCCTTATTTGAATATTAGCTCATTTATACATACCTCTAAAATTTTCAGAACGCCATGAGAGATTGGAAGGAGAAATTGGCAAGAAATCTGTAGGTTTCCAAACATGTGCAGCAGAACAGGAATTTAGGTTAGCTGAACACTTCAGGGAATATAAATACTTGTTTTTTCACATAGTTTTGGGAATATTGAACTAAAGTCTGCAATATCCAGAAGCCTGGTTACATTTTAATGCATATTAAAAACTGTACAACAGCATTTAGTGTTCATAAAGATGACTGTTACACTTTTGGCATTTTTAGGAAAGCACGTTAAGCTTTAAAGCAGAATAAGACTTTACTATCTGTCAGTACCTAGATTACACTTAGAATTTGTGCTCACAAAGTACAAAAAACCACAAACATTTTCCTCATTTTCTGCTTTTACCTTGTGTTCTCCCCTCAGGTATGGCCCATTTCCTGTTCCCTCGGAGCTACCTTTGGCTATACAGCTGGCCTGATTATTGCACCTCTGTGGATACACTGGAACCGAAAGCAGCTTACGTACAAAAGCAGATAACTGGAGCAAAGAGAGACAAGGTATTTCTTTGTGCAGATTCCATACAGACTGTGCAAAAGTTGGGGTTTTTTAAAATGAGATATATATATATATATATGTATAGTCAAAGCAGAAGACTATGCAAATTAATTTAGAGTATTTCAGGCCAAGCATCTTCACTCAATAAAATCACATAGATGCCATTTGAGCATGGTGCAGTTTTTGCTTCCTCCACACTACGTAACCCTGAGAGATTGTACCTTCCAGTCTGAATAAAGTATTTGTAACAGATGTGGTGGCTTCGTCTTACAAGTTCATTGAGCTTCATTTTATTCCTCTGGATTTCACTGGTTGTAGAAGGCAGAATCATGGTTTTAGCTTTCAAGCCTGTAATAAGTTCGCTGTGTACTTAATACATTGTATTTAAATTCAGTAGAATTTCACAGTAAGCCTGGCCATTGTCAAATGTATCTCACGTGATCAAACAGCAGTTTATGCATCTTGAGCCTATTCTCTTCTTCACTGTGTGTTTCTTTGGAGTTAGAATGGCTATAATAGCTTCATCAAAAACAGTCTTCAGTCCTTTCTGTGTTAAAGCTGAACACTCCACATAGCAGTAGGCTCCTATCTGTCAAGAAAATAAGTTAATTCAATAGCAGTATATTTCAGCTGTTCAGTTCTATCCGTGCATTTCTGCAATTTTTTTTCTATAGCGACACCACAATGTTTGGCTGTGATCTAGAAAAGTTACCTGCATGTGCATCCCGCTGTAGGAGAAAAGATGATTTGCCTTCTGGCCAAAGATCTGGAATGTATTTAAGTTGATTTGATTTATAAAGGAAGCATATTAAATAAGCTCTTTGGATTGGCAGTGGAGTCCTAAGGTATTTTTGATAATTAAACAGCAAAAAATAATTACAGAATTACATGACCAATTTATATTTCAAAAGTAAAACTATAAATAAGTGTCCTGATAAGTATTATCCCTGCAGTGTGTTAAAATGGTAGTATAACATTCTCAAATAATTTCTTAAAGATGCTTTCAACGTTTTGCTTGAGCAGTAGAGATGCTTTCCAGCCTCAACCACTCTGTGATATTCTCTCTGACTAATGCTTATGTAGTTTTCACAAGTGCCTGCACAAAGTTAGAACTATTACTAACAGGGAAGTGCTTGCTTGGGAAAAACTGTGGAAGAACACAGGTCTGCTTGTTAGCTGTATTCAACAATTTAAGTAAATAATGTTAACTGGTAACTTGTCATAAGGTTTCATACATTGACTGGTAAGATAAATGGGCAAAGTGGTAAAGGAAGAAAAAAATCAATTGGAAGTAGGATTTTTTGTTTCTTTGCTACTTGGTTTCATTTAGGAGCATCCAGTTTACCTCTTTTGCTAACTTCTGTCCTTGCTCCACAGATATGGGCTTCTCTTTCATATCATTAAGTCTTGCCAGAGTTTTTGGGTCATCACGAAGATCAATCTAGCAAGAAAGATTGCAGTCATGTTGGAATACTTTTTCTAAACAAAAGTCAGCAGGCTATTTGATATCCTCTTTGTAAAGCAGAAAAACTTATTTAATGGAGTATTATGCATACAAAAATGGAGTCATGTCATGATTTGGATCATGGGTCCTTCCTGATCCAAAAGCCCTGGAAATTCAGTCTGTGAACTACTACCTTCAATCCAGAAGAAGCAAATGTTTATTCTGTAATTCAGCTCTTCAATTAGATATGATCATCTTGGAATACCAGAACGTATATCCAGCAGCGACAGAAAGATTAACCCAAACGTACTACCAACATGTGGGTCACTTTGTAATCAAAGCCCAGTCCACTGCCCACAAGAAGCAAGAGGAAATGGTCTCACTTCTCCCCTTGCTCCTTTGCTTCAGCAAATATTGGATACAACGAATACTTTTAGACCCAAGTAATCCCAGTAACATGGGTATGAGCAGACTGTTTTATTCTGTAAGTCCCACGACTTTCTATAAAGTCACATGGAGAGATGCAGCCAGTCTCCCCACCCTGTTTACAATACATGTATTTTAACAAAATGGATGTAGCTCATTAGTGAACAACACAGATCTAGGTTTTTCTGCCACTTGTTAGGGTCGTTCCTCCAAAGCCAGAAGATGCTGCTCAGGTTGTATCGGGCCTGAACTTCCAGCCCAAAGAAAAGGCATCATGCAATGATATGAATTGTTTAAATAAAGTAGAACAGATATACCTGTGTTCCTACTAGTAAAAAGGGAACGTTAGGTGCATATTCCTTCAACTCCGGTACCCACTCTTCCTTCACATTTTGAAATGAAGCGGGGTTTACCACTGAGAAGCAGATAAGGAAGACATCGGTCATAGGATAAGATAAAGGTCTCAGACGATCATAGTCTTCCTGAGAAAGAAAAATTCCGTTATCTGCAATATTAAATTGTTGCTTGCATTTTGTTCATTTTAACAGTTATATTCAGAAACTGTATCCATGTTTCAAGAATTTTGTTGAGGCAAACTTTCTGAATGTTTATAACTATTCCAGGTAGTCAGTGTGGCTGTTAGAGCAAAATCGGCATATGAGGGTAACTATACGTGAATAAAAATACTTTGAAGCGTGTTAATACAGATAGAAACTTACATCTGTATAAGAATATACAGAAGACTACCCTTTAAAAAGTTTTCACTGAAAGAAAAAAAAAGGCTTATGGTTCAAGCATACTTGGAGATCAAAGGTTAGCATTTGTTTGACCAAAAAGAAATAAGCAGATGTGACTGCTATAGAACCACCCAGGTTATACAAAGCCAGGCTATCTTAAGGCTGTTTAATGCACTTAAATGTTCTCCTTCGGATCATATGTAGAAGTGCTATTTAAGGCCCTCCTTAGAATTTTCTTTCTGTCTCTCAGAAACCTTACTGCCATATTGCTAGTGCTCGGGGCAGGCAAAGTAAGGATCAGAAGGAACCTCTTTTGTCCCAGACTCTGCTTTCTATAAGCAAGCCCAGCAAAGAGTGGGAAGGAACAGAAATTAAGGATCAAGAACATTAATGCCCTTTTTGGAGAGAAATTAGTGTGAAAAGATTATTATTATTTGGAGCCACAGCATTTAAAGCCACCAGTCCTACTGCCAGGGCGTACAACAGAGCAACAGAGGCACCTAGGAGCATTGTCCCTATTGTAAAATGGAGTTCTCTCTAGCAAGAGAGAAAGTGAATTTTGCCATATGTTTTAGCTAAGAGCAGGAGAAAACATGCCCCAGCTTCTTTCTGCAAGGCTTCTTTTGGTATATGGTAGTGAACCAACTTTACCATTCCTTACCAGTGGCCTTACCATTAGCACCTTAGGCTTTTTTTTTGCCTTTTTTTTTTAAAAAATAGGTAACCAAGACTGAGCCCAGGCATTGCACAGATGCTGAAGAATGCTGGGTTTATGCCTTCTGTCACAATAAACACCAGTTTATTATGGCTGCTGCAGCAGCCTCTCTATTCCCCATCTAAGCTCCCCATCTTAATTAAATCTCACAAATATTGGAATGATTTGTTCATTAAATGTAGAGACAGAAATGTAATTCAACTTCATGTTTGAAACGAGCCAGAAAATTAAATTTTCATTTCCTTGACAACAATCACATTACCATATTATTAACCTATAGTTGCACCCTCAGAAAAGCCCGTCGTTGATTAATTGCTAAATTTTAAAGATGGCATCACTAGAATTTCAGAAAACATGTGAGAACTTCCTCAGAACACTTTCTGCTACACCCATCTTTTCATTTGGAAATCATCAGCTATGGGAAGAGGGCTGTTATCCTCGTCGTGATATGGAGAAAAGACAAGCACTGGAGGAGATTCTTGCACTAGCAAGGAGGTGACCATTGGCCAATACTCTTCAGTGTCCATTTACACAATATTCTTACTTGTAGTCAGCATTCTCATGTGCCATTTTGATTATACACTCTACTGCCAGTCTTGTATACTCTACAGTTTTGTCAATAAGCTAGAGCATGCTTAGCTGTAAACATGGGCTCCCAATTTCACAACCATAGTAACTGACACTGCTGTGAAACTACATTTGACAGGCCTTGTCAAAGATCAGTTGTTTACCTGCTAGTGTCAGGCTCCTATCCTGATTCAAAAAATAGTAACCGTGTCTTTTCCACATCTGTGGACGTTCACCATAGAAAGCAGAAATAACTTTAAGAACATCACAACAGCAACTTGAAACTCTTCAACGTTTAATTCTTTTTTAAAGCATGTATTTTACATTTGACTTCTACTACTGAATATAGTTAGATCCTGCTCAGGGTTACCACTCTTTTCTGGGGCGGAGATCAAAACCCTGAAAGAAGCTTCCCAACTGCAAATTACACTGGTCCCTGGAGTACAAAATCTGCATACAAGAACGTGCAGGCAGATCTGTCAGTTGCTTTTGAAATTCAGCTCCACTAAATCATGTGTGGGGTATTACTGAATAGAGGTTTAAAAAAAAATAAATAAATCTAGTTTAAAGTCATCATTTGTTCCTACCACCAAAAAGCTGCCTTCACCACACAACATTTTTTAAAAATCTCACATCTGGGTTACAATAGCTAGAATACTGTCTGCATTAAATGCTGGAGTGAAGACATTTCACTGTCACCAGAAATTACTGTTAGTCCATTGATCTTAAAATATCTCTTCAGTTAATCATTTCAAATTACAGATAGACCTTTTATTCATAGCAAATACTAGTAATTTTCTGATTTGAGAGCTGAGTTACATTTGCATGGGTTATTTCAAAACTTTCATAATTTATCTTTTTAAATCCCATTGGATACAGATCCCTGTACATTTAGCCATACCTTGGTACTGCACCTTACTTACCACTATTCATCATGTCATGCAGGAGTGAGCAATGTTACCACTTTTTAAGGCCTGTGTGTTGCTGAACTCCTTTCCTGTCCCTGCATCTATTTGTATGTCTTTTGATTTATACCCTGTCCCATCTGCACTGGGCAAGCTGTGAGTCTGTTCTGTGTAATTAAGAAGTTAAACTGAAGGCAAGTACAGTGTGATTGGATACATTATGTACCACGGCCAAAAATGTACGTGGTATTAACTACGGTGACTTCACTGCATTTACATTTACTTAAATTAACAGAGATTTTGGCTATACTTGCCCATCCTGCTGCTTGAAACAAGTCAGTGCTTTCAGGCTCTCCTTTAAACCTTGTGTGTGCTATCAAAATTAGGTTCATACTGATACTAATAATGGCAGGTAATTTTAATAAAGCCTCCCACCACATGATTAGACTGGTCCTGGATCCTTATAGGAGAGACCCTGGCCTAAATGTTACCAGCATCTAGTAGGCCATCTCTGCTTAAAGACTCCTCCTGCTCCCTGACAGCTCCTCAGAAATAGCAATCAAACCTGAAAACGTTCTTTGATGCATTGGCCTAAATAACTGCTGCACTTGGCAGAAGAATCTGAAATACCAAGTGAATTTAGACTGAACATTAGAGAAGCCTGGAAAAAAATGATTGATTCAACTGTAATTTATTTCCTGAATCCAGTGTAAGGGAAGTAACTGTAGTTTATTCTAAAATTACATGCAATGGCAAAATCTAATTATGCTATCCAGTCAACATAAATTCCAGTCTGAGTGCCTGTACACACCACACTGTACAGCAATTAGACTTCCAATCTAACTGGGGAGGCACTGCGTGTATGTTTAGGCATTAAAAATATTTAAAGAATTTAAAGGGACTATTTTAAGAATGTGAATAAGATGGGCAAGAAAGTCCCTAAGGATCAAAATGTGCAGTACGAGTCTCAAAAACTCCAGACTGATAGTGAAATGGCTCATTCTCCAACATACTCTGGACTTCAAAACAAAATTGTTCGCTGTTTGCTGAAGCAGATGAATACAGATAGAAAAACATGCTGTGTGAGAGTTGTAACTTTAAACAAATTGGATGCAAGTATGTTGGCTTCATTAATGCTATATGGAGCTATGATCCCTATAAAAGATACGACACACAGCAGGACCGTCCATTATTTACCTAGTATCTCTGGTAACCCAGGACAGCTGCCAATACAGAACAGACGTGGGAAAGGAGATGAGACGGAGGAACTAATGACCTGACTTGCCTTACCAACTGCAAACTGGGAAGGACTGTTTGGGTTTTATATTTTGGTTTGGTTTTAAGAGTTTTGATATTCTAGAGGTAAATCTAGCATTGCCCTTATCTTAGCTCCTTAAAATCTCTCATCTAGGTCTCTTTTTCCATGTTACAGTACCTGATAATCTTCCTCTCAGATCTTCTGCTGCCTTGTACTTGAACAGTGAATTGCTGATTTTTCACTGTACTTTGGATGTTCAGGTGGATTTGCTTTAACGTGTCCAAAATTTGGCTATTTCTTTTCCTGACATTTACCTGCTCAAAAACAGAGGTCTTGAGGAACTTTCTGTATGCAGACTGAAGAACGGTATTGCAATTCAGCAGCGTTATGTTCTTCAAGGGTTTGTTCAGTCTACAAGCAGAATCTAGTGCCATATTTCAAGTTGTACAATTGATTTTGAACTGATACTTTTACCCAATTCCATGGATATCAGCTGAGAGACATAGTTAAAAACACACAGACTATATTCATAACTCTGCTGCTAGCACAATATGTAGCCCTGAGCAAATTATTATCCTCTCTCTACTTGCATCTTCCCATCCGCAGGGGTTTGATAGCTTAATAATGCATTAGTCTTTGCAAAGCACTCCAAAAGCCTTTGATGTACATAGCTTATGTGCAGTGGGATATTTTTTAAAAAATAAACTAAGACAAGGCAAAGTCTAATCATTTCTGGACTACCTTCTTGACCCACAAAAAGCATTACTTCCTTGTAGTTATTAGCAAACAGAAGTTAAGAGGCGCAGGCATACTGAGATCTCATAGTGCTAGAGCCCCTGTAGCTCCCCTCTTTTATGCTATCGCGCTCCTCCCTGCACAAGTTGAAGTGAGGCAGGCAGAGGTCCTTACCCCTCTCTCAGTCATGTGAGACCACAGGCCTCTTTCTCCTCTGGAATGGTATTAGGGTCTCTCTATTCAATTTGGAGAGATGAAAGGCAATTAGAGGAGTCACCTTTGCAGTCAGTACTTTCCCATGCTGTGACCAAGACCTTTGGAGAAATTTGTGCCTCAGATCCACTGCTGCAGGTAGCGAAGAAGATGTTAGCTGAGATCTGTTGGTTTGATCTTTGTTCCTTGCAGGGCTAGTGTCTTTAAGCAAATAGGACAAACCAAATTCTGCTATGTCATTAACATTGTGGCAGGGGCCCTGAGCAAAGTTTGTCATGCTTATGTTTTCATACAGGCCCGACGGTATTTACTCTGATGGAACCAAAGTAGTTTTATGTGTTTTGCAGCTTAGGAATGGAACTTTAATGATATGTCTCCAGTTATATCATACAGACATACTCCTATAAACAAAAGGATAAGCCTGTTTCTTTTCTATTCTGAGAAAGTATCAAGTGGATGGGAGGGAACAAAATAAAGCTTGCACCACTGGAAGAAAAACTAGAGCTCAACAACTCTAGGTTTGTGATCTCTGTGTTAGCAACCATCTGTTGCTTTCACAGCTTACAACAGCAATCGTAAGAGGAGGTTCTCACTCCCAACCATCTGTTTTTAGAGGGGAAGCTAAAAATAGACATCAGGCAGAGTTGCTAGAGGAATCCAACCTTCATGCAGTGAAGGGTAATCACTACTGCTGCTCAGAGGGTCTCAGTGAGGCACACATATGTAAGTAGCTGGCTTCTGCGGAGCAAAATCCAAGCTAAAAGCCCAAGTTTTAACCCATTTCATAGTCAGCCTTGGTAATGACAGTTGAAAGTCCTCTCTCAGTAAAAACTGTCATGCTTTAATTTTTGAAATGCATTTCAAAGCTATTCTTCAAGACTGCATTCTTCCTAGTTTTCTTCCCTGAAAATAAATTTATGTTTCAGAAGGCCCCCTGTAGTATTTTCGAAAACATAAGTGAACCTGTAACAACTGTTATATCTAACGTGCCCCAGGGACTTAGTAACAGCTCATGGTTATCCCCGTGGACACATCCTGCCACATCCTCCAGATTATTTGCAATTAAAGGCTGATCTGCAGCTTTGCCATAAGCACCAGGCAAAGCCTCTGAGAGCAACTGCCTGCTCCAGAAGCGCACCAGGAAACAAGACTTCACCCCACTGAATCACCCTGTGGTTTCTGATTCTACGAGATGCTTGGGTGTGGGGAGGAGAGAGAGGGAAGTGGCCTGTAGTCCCCCATGCCAAGCACAAATTGCTTCCCTGGCTACAAAAACTCTCTGTGTTTTTTTACTCTGCGTGGTATAACACCCTCACCCTTTGCAAAGGAGGAGGGTGGGGCGTCCCCAGGACGCTGGCTTCCTGGCACTGCCACTCACAAGGCACCACTAATGCCGGACCATTTGGCAAGCTGCAATTTGGACTGACGCGGCATTGCCATAAAACATCTGCTTGTCCAATTCTGCAACCCAGGTCCTGTTACACTGATGGCTACGTTTGATTTTTCAGTCACCTCTATCTGTAGCCACTAGCTTCTGAACATGGAAAACACGATGTGGTGATTCTCACACGATTTGTGTACTTCTCCCCTGGCTGCAGGGGAGAAGTGCACTACAGACCCTCCATCTCTTCACAGGCTTCTGGGGATACAGCTTGTATTGCTAAAGAAAGTAGAATTGTCCTGCTGTGGCTTGTTCGCACAGGTTTGCCAGGGACTGCAAAAAGCTGCTGATTTGGGCCCAGCATCTATTTTTAATTTATAGAAAAGGCTGCAAGAATGCAGGCTAAGTGCTCTTCCATTGTATTCTAAAAATGAAGTAAGCTGATCTAAATCCATCTCTAAATTCCTGTGAGGAGGACTGTTCAAAGGAGGTATGAATTATACATTGAAAAAGCCCAGGGTTTATGAATTATGATTTTTTTTTGACAAAACTTTCCTTCTGGCATATCTGAAGACTGTGTAGCTGCCTACACGTCTGAAAAGCTTTTCTGTATAGAGAGAAATAACTAGCTGGAAGATGGAGCCTAGTAAGATGGATTTTAGAGCATTAGAGACAAGAAGGACTCAATATTCCTTTAATTATACACAAAATTGCCTTTAAGTGATCAGAATTGATCTCAGTCTTAATGTGGGATTAAATACTGTCCAAATCCTACATTTTGCCATGTGGTGATGCTAAACTATTTTCCTAGACACTCAACAAATCACTCCCTTTCTTTTCTCCATCACCACAGGAACTTAAACTTGCTGGCTTCTTCATGGTTTTCTAGAAGCGGAAATCCCTAAGTTTTCTCTAAAAGACATATTGTTTTAGCATCTGTAAAAACAGAGCATGGATTCAACTGACTTCAAGTGGGACTGGCAAGCACAAATTCACTTCAACACCTTATACCAGTTGCTTATCCACTATGGAGCTCCTAAGAAGTGTCAGAGTAACCGCCATGGAGAAGCCCTTTCACTCCTTAACCATGAGAAATCACAAGGCTGCATTGCGTTCCTGCGCCGCTTCCTTTCTCACCATCAGTGACCTCATGAGCAGCACTCTTCTCACACAGGATTTCCACTTTCTCCAAGAAAGGAATTCACCCCAGTTTTGGTGACTGCAGCCATGAACAATCAGGATTTTCCATTCTTTCAGATATGGGCAATAAAGGAAAAAAATAAAATTCACCCTGACACAGAGGATCTGGTCAGATCCTCTACAGAACCTGCTCTTTGGAAAGATGAGTTCTTTCACTTTATTTTTACAGAATATGACCATCAATAAATCTGTTCTCACACTGAAAACAGACTACGGAATAGAGATAGATGGTTTAATATATTTATCCATATGATATCAGACATGTCTTTTCACTTACTAACTGTATAAATCCTGCCCAGACAAGAAAGACTGATCAGTTAGGTGTCCCATTCCCTTTCATTTTTTACAAATAAGCCCCAAAAGCCCATTCTTCAGTCCAGTGTTGAGCAACAGCTGTAAGATAGAAGACTAAGCCTTCACACTGACTCCTCAAGATTAATTTCCATCACACAACTCCTCAGAAGACAAAGTGCCAGAGTACTGGTGCCATCATGTGCACACTAAATAACATGTCACGGTGAAAGAGTTTCTGGAATTAAAGGAGTTCCTAAGAGTCTTCTGCACCTCATTTTATGTCCAGTCCTGATCTGTCAGGGCTAACAGCTTCCACTGAAGAACCTAGTAAAAGGAGTCAACAATTTCACTGCAGCAGATGTTAAGGCAGTTGAAAAACTGCCTACAGTTATTCCTAAGTGAGGAATACGTCAGCCATCTCACTGCCTGTGGCTGGGCTATCAGTCATAACTCAAGACGCAGCCCAGGTCACGCCTGGCATCCATCCCTTAGTGACTCCGCCACTGCATCCCAACTGGAAATCAAACCAACAAGGAACCAGCATTAAGTCCTACAGATGATCTTCTAGCATTCACGGCTACATCTAATTTAGAGCACAAGGTGCCTGAGGCACTTTCAGTCTGTGTTTTATTCATCTGAAGCAGTAAGTTCACCTACAATGCTGATAGATGTTCCTCTGCTCTGGAGAATAATGCTGCCACCTGCATTTTCATACACACAGCAGCGAGTGCCAGCCATCGCAAAGAATTACTGCGCACATGCCACAACATGGATGCAGTGCAGAGCAGGATTAAAACCAACTGAAGACAGTAGCCACTAATGCATCAAGCGACACGGCCTCTTCAGAACCACTGAAAGCGTCCTGTGGCATCCAGACACATTTTTCTTAATACAAATCATCCCATCACCAATCCAAACCTATAGGCTGCTTATAAAGCCACAGAACAGAGCAGTAAAAAGATACAGTTCCCCTCCTCTCTGCCCTCATTTTGCATTTTTTCTAATTAGAAGAGGGGCAGTTTTGTTCAAAATGCAACTGCTTTAAGGTTTAAAAAAAAAGTCCTTAAGCTCTTTCCCAAAGCATCCCTTTTAGTAACATTGATTTTAATAATTCACAATAAACTGCAGGATTTGGAATCAGTGTGGTTTATATTACTTCTTGAAGCCCAGGTTCCTGAAGTCTCATGATTATATAAAGAAAAATCACATCCTTTTCATCTTTAAATGGAAGATAAATTCTAGTACCTCACAGATACAGAAAAAACTTGAATACATGAAGCCGAGAGACTTAAAAAAAAAAACCCACATCCAGCAAAGAGCAAAACAAAAAGTCTCAAACCATTTTGACTTCCTAGGCTTTTTAGGTAGTGGTGTCTGCGGATAGGAATAGCTGACTCATCATTTTGAATGCCTGGGACTGACAAAACCTCGGTATTGCTGAAGTAAGTTTTACATCCACTTTGTCCATGTGTTCTCAATAAAGGAACTGGAACAAAGCTCACTGAAATCAGCAATAGGCTGCCTGCTAACCCAGGGCTTTGGATCAGACTCTGGAAGTCCTTTTTGCATTGCAGGTCTGCACAATGGAGGCAGTACTCTAGTCTAAATTATATTTAGTTTGTTTTAAGATGTAGTTTGGAGGCTGAATCACGAGTTAGGCTATAAATGAAAAATACGCTTTTTTTTTTATTATTATTCTTTTCATATTTACCAAAATATAAAGGGCTCTTGGCAAAGGAAACAGATTTCAGTCAGGAAGACTGACTGTGGACCGACTGAAAATTCCCCACAGTCTCGTATGTTCTCTATCAGAAAAACTCTGCCAGCTCACGCCACCTGACCCAGTTGTCCCGTTCTATCACTCTTGCCTCCTGCACTACAGCTGTAGATTATATGATACTCAAACGAGTGAAGTGCACACACCATCTTAAAATTAATCAGGAAGTAAGAGGATACGCAGTAACATTGTGTTGGAGGAGCAATAATTATTGCTTGTTTTCAGTGTTGCCTTTTTAACTAGTGATGTTTGGATATCATTGAAAGAAGTCACTGTACCTCCAAGAAATGGTAAATGAGTACAATTCAGAGAGAACTCTGTCACAAACTAAATAATTTCTACTGACTCTTAACCCAGGAAGAAGAGATTTTTACGTGAACACATAATCAATGTTTAGCAAGAGCCTCACTAGGTCAGTAGTCTTCATAAAAATGTGCTTTTAACATATCAAAAATTGAAGTTTCAGAGAACCTCTCAAACTTGGTTTGCTTTGGGTTCTTTACTTTGGCCTGCCATTAACTTACTGTTAATGTGATGACATTCTGGATCTACATTTTCAGACATATCCCTTACATTTTATTTTAATATAACTCTGTGCCACTATTCAGAAGTGCTGTGGGGCTTTTGACACTCTGAAAATGAAACATAACTATCTTGAGTTTCCAACATATATTTAGTCGATGCTTTTGGGAACTAGGAGCACCATCTCCTGTCCTGAGACTCCCCATCTGGCAATAACAATACTTACCTATCTTTCTAGGAAAGCTATGATGCTTTCAAAGTGTGAGTCACAGCTCACAACCAGGCATCTGAATGTCAGCTTTGCACTGGGGCTATTATTGTTGGAAGGCCATTCTTAAAAGCGAATCTGAAGGTATGAGTCCCCCCTCCTTTTAAACAGAAAGCCTGTCTTTGCTTAAACACTTGTCTAGAGAACTGTTGCCATATAGATTGTAAGCTCAGGCACTTTACCTCCTTCTTTTGCGTTGAAAAAATTTAAAATTTCAAAGGGAGAATCTAGGCATGTTATTTTATCTGCATACATCCAGTTGTTGCTGCATAGCCATTAAATCTATGTGGCTGGCAACATCCCGAAGCAGAGAGCAGCTTCAGCAGAGGCCGAGCTATTCATAGGCCAGCATGACAGCCCAGAGCAAGCTCGGGAGCTCACAGCTCCCCGGCAGCTGCCAGCTCGGCCGGGACAACGTACAGGGAGCGCGAGAAAACGCATGTGGGAGGAGGGAGGCACAGAAAGGGAACAAGATGTTAATTGCGAACATTTTGGGTTTAGATCTGCCCAAATCAAGTTACAGGTTTCGGTGTTTACAACTCTGCAGTAAAGGGTGGCAGGCTTTGTGTTGTGTGCGACCCTGTTTGCACATTTCAGGCTTGCACCTGGCCCTACGGCTGCGTGGTAGGTGCAACTCAGAAGGAGTAATGTGGTCTGAGGAGGGACATTTCCATTTTACAACAGACCAGCCATAACGATCAGTAGCTGCCTCACCTTTCAGTAGGATATTGAAGTGGTACCTGCTAGACCAGGGCCACCTACCAAAGCCGAGACAAATATCCAGCAAGGAGTACAAAGATTACTGTTATTTCTTGTTTTATTTATAGCAACCACCACAAGCTTGGTGACCATCATTTTAGCAACCACACCTCCACCCCTCTCTTTCCCACAGGCACATTCACAGTTACAACCATTTGTTTTTACACCTGGCCTTAACCCAGGCACTGATCTTGCTAATATCTGAGTTAGCTTTACGCACTTCAGCAGACCGACCAACTTTAATATAAAATTGCTTTTAACATCATGGCATCCATTACAACAAAAAAAAATCAGTGTATCTGAATTAAGATGGCTGTGGCTGCAACCAGAGCAGCCATCGGTGTCTGAGCTGGGAGGAACCAGTGGCTTGTTCTTGTGCTTAGCATGTTTTGTGGCTATTGTTTTGGTGACAGCTGAGAAGGCACTGAGAGCTTTATTGTTTCAGACCTACAGCTCGTCCTACACGTATTAGGGCCTTTAAGGCAGAGAAATAGAAGTGGAAAGCCAAGGAACACAGCTTACCTCAGCTCTGTCCAACCAGGCCACATTAGTATCACAACACTAGGTGATACAGAAGGATATAAATGTTATTATTAGGCACTGCGCCACAGTAAGATTCACTCTGCTCCTTCTGTACCCTGCTCTGCACTGCCCAGACGCCGGCTTGGGGCCAAACCTGTTCCAGCCAGCCACGCTACACCTCAGCATCTCTCTTCCCGGGGCAGCAGGAGCAGCACAGGCTCTGCTCCCGCATCCCCCCCATCCTCCCTCCAGGTCCTGACAGCAAAGACACAGGAGCAGAGCAAGGCTTCCACCTGTATGTGGTCAACACATATGGGAGGAAAGGGACACCATGAATGGAAAACCCCATAGCAAAAGGGATTGAGAGGAGGATGGACCCCAACTGCCATTTTAAGCAGCAGCCTTCAATATGGAGCAGAATCCCCAAGAAGTAACTCCTGTGTGTCCTCACAGTTATCCCAAAAGTTTTAATATCATCAGAGTTGGCAGTATTATTTTTGGTATTTATGGAAGATCAAAACTATAATCACTTGTCACTAGTTCAAAAGCACTCCAACATGGTGAAGGTAACAGCCCCCCGATAAAGCCACGGTTCTCTTCCCAGGGTGATTTTGCCACGTACCCCTGCTCAGTGAAAAGCAGTACCGACACACAGTTAAGTCTCCGAGAGCAAGAGAGGCCACTGCAAAGCCAAAGGCATCCAAGTATCAGTAGCACAAGCACCTCACATTTAAACTTCAGTGCACTGATGCTCCCAGCTCCAGGTGATGTAGTTCCTCAGTTCTCCTCTTCCTGGAGAAACCAGGACCCACTCCAAGCCAAACCAGTCTCAGCGCATGGCTGGGTGCAGCAGCAAGGCTAAAAGGAGCTGCTGGCTCCACCTCTGGGAGGAATTGCTGGAGGAATGTCCTCTCAGACACCACTAGCACCAAATTCCCCCCTGCTTTCCTGGCATGGGAGCCTGCCTCCACAGCTGCAAACCTAAATGGGCTCCGGGAGCCCCCACTGCCCAGCAGCTGTACTGGCTATTTTCTGCTGAACCAGGGCCTCAGTATTTTAATCAGGGAAAAGCCTGCCTGAACTCACACACACCCGAAGAGAGAAAGGTCTATCTGTGTATAAACTGAAGTTTGTGAAACACTAGTGTAATTTTTCCCTGCTATATATATAACCTGGGGGAAAAAAAAAAAAAAAAAAAAAAAAAAAGTATTTTCATAGATTTATTCTCAACCTACTTTAAACTCGCAAAGAGGCATTATGTCATTGGTATAGTTACTACACGTGATCCTGTGTGTGTTGTATAGATGAGATCTAGAAATGAGTACTGGATGCCATGAACTCAAAAGCTTGCAAATCCTCTGCCAAAGAGAAGTCTGTCTCAAGTTGCTAAATACATAACCACACAAGGTAAAAGAGACTCACAGGCTGATAAATCAGCATATCAGGGCGATGAGCCTACTGTGCACCAGCTAGAAATCAAAAGGTCTTTAATCCTTGCTCTGCTATGGGCTTCCTGCACGGAATTGGAGTAGGTCACTGTGTGAACCTCCCTTTACCCTCTCACTCCTCTTCGCCCCAGAATGAGATCTGTACATTGTACCTATGCACTCTGTCCGGAGCTGGGAGTATAAACACGCTGAAGACTCTGAACTGCTTAGATACCACAGTGATCACACACTGGCAAGTTCTGATAAAAATTACACTATCAACCCAGCATTTTAAATTATTTGGGGGTGACGGGATTAGAAATAAAAGCACTGATGTATGCTGGCACAGAAATCCCGACTTTAGGAAGCAGAGTCCAAGCCATATAGAAGTCTGTGCAAGCAGCAGGCATGTGCCAGATGCAGCACGCTGTTTCCTCAACACGGAGAAGGCACTATCCACTCACGTCTTTTCTGCTCTTCACTCTATATATATTTAAGTTTTAAAGTAAGCTTTCTGTTATCGCATATCTGTGGGAAGGTGGGCTTGTCAGCACGCTCTCTGACAAAGCAGCTAAAAGAATGAAATTGCTGGACTGGCATCTTCACACAGAATCCCCTCCTTAGTTGTGCTGGGTGTTGGGATGGGGCCCCCATGGGCAGCCTCAGATGTCCACCAGTTCCCCAAACACACTGAAGTGGGATGGGGATAATGATAAAGATTTTATGAGCAGGTCTGACTAAAAGGGGAGTTTTTCCAAGACTAGATATATCTGTAAAGATAGCCTCATTAAAACACCCTACGTGAGCTGAGGCTCCTCTGAATTAGGCCAGCAAGATCTGGTCCTGGGTACATCAGAAACTGCTCTGTAATTCAAACTGAACATTTCAGTTTCTCAGAATTTAGGGGAAAAAAAAGCTTACCTCAGCTTTTTACAGGTCTGGATATTCAATTTCACATAGAAAAGTTGTTCTTCATTTAACAAGAATGGCTTCACTTGCTGTTCGCTGCAAACTGGATAGTTTACCCTACCAGTTTTTGAAGAGGCCAAAGGTCACTCAGTTTTGTACTCAGCACATTCAGGCAGAGTGGGATACCACAAAACCACACAGAGCTAACAACACACGCTCCCATTAATAGCAACAAGCCAGCACAAGCAGTTTGAGATGGCATCCACAAATAAGCTACGCGTACGTAGAGTAGCGCTAGGGTCACTTTCACACTTTCCAATGCTCATTATAAAAAGAAAAAAAATTGCATATTAACCAAATGCTTTATTCGCCTGAACACTAGATCCTCATTTTGTAAACTACTTAAGCAATATTTTACCAGCTGTGTTTTGAACCAATTATTACTGAAAAACAGGACTGTGACAGTAGTCAAGTAAAAAATGTACTTAGTTGGCATAAATTTGACTAGCGTGTGTCTACATCAGTGAGATGACAATCATTAAGTCAGTCTTTTTGGGAAGAGTCTCACCCTTCAGGTCTCAGCTTTCTGGAAACAGGGCTGTTCCCTACAATTCTCATGGTATTAATTTATTACTGATTTCAGGCCTAACAAAGATACAAAAGACCAGTTAAATGCTGCTTCCCTTACTTAAGGTTGTATGCAGATCTAAAAAGGTATGCTAATTTAGGCAGCAGTTTTTCAATTAAGTATAGAAGTAACAAGGTTAATAAAATATGGCTTCAGTCTGTGCAAGTCCAGCGAGATTATTTTACTAGTTGCTCTTCACAACAAGGAAGCATGTCTGAGATCATGTGAGACCAAAACACATGCTCACATTGCAAGAAGAAGTTTTAATATAAGGAGTACGCAACTTTACAAAAACCCATGCAGTGTTTCCGCGTATGCTCCACACCTCCCTGGGAGATGCCTGCACCTCCCCTGGTCAGGCCCTTCACAAACTATTTTGTTTCCAAGAAGGCAACTCCAGAGAGCTGCGAGTACTCTAACCCAGGAGACCGTGCTCGGTGCCGTGGAAGTTAAGCTGACCAAGAAGTGACTTGAATAATGGAGCTCTTTGGTAGCTGCTACACCACTGACCCACCAAACATCAAACAATTTATACATCATCAAAGTTACTTAAGATACATGCTGACACAGCATCTTTCACAACAGGCTGTAATAATCTTAAGTGAATCACTCGAATTATCTGGGATGGCAGAAGAAAGCCAGCTTATCTGAAAGGCAGTGGCTGAGAATTAAATTTTATTATTGACCACCCCGAAGTTGAACAACTGTTTTTTAGCTATTTAAGAGCTGTAACGCCTAAACAAGGGCAAGCTGCGGCAGCCCGGGTCTCTACCCGACCCGACACGTTTGAGGCGGCAAGTTCCCCCCCACCCCCCGCTAACAGAGGCACATTCCCCCACCTGAAGGCCGGCGGGAGGGTCACCGCTCCGGGGGGGCTGGTCGCAGGCGATGCCCGGGCCAAGCCCCGGCCGCAGCTCGCCCGGAGCCGGCCACACTCCTCTAAAAATAAAGCCCGTCTCCGCCCGCCCGCCCGCCCTCGGGAATAAGGGTTGGATCGATGATTTTCTTTTAAAGCCTGTTTCTGTCAATCCCCCCCCCCCCCCAACACACACCCGCCCGCCCACCCGTTTCTGAATCACCCAGCCCGGACCGCAGCCCCGCGACCAACTTCAGCGCCGGGCGCGCCGCGGGGCCGGGGCTCGGGGGGCAGCGCTCGGCACTCACCTGCCCGGCCGTGTCGTACAGCCCCAGCAGGTACTGCTTCCCGCCGACGGTAACGCTGACTGCGAGGGGGGAGAAACAGAGCGGGTGAAGAGGGGCAGACCCAGGCCGAGCCGAGACCCCACCACCCCCCGGCAGGGTAAGGCCGGGAGATGGAGGGAGGGAGGGAGGGAGGGGGGGCGGCTGCCGGCGGGGCCCCCCCCCGCCCGCTCACCTGCGTAGTGGTCGAAGACGGTGGGCACGTACTCCTCGGGGAAGGCGTCGTTGGCGTAGCTCATCAGCAGGCACGTCTTGCCCACGGCGCCGTCCCCCACCACCACGCACTTCAGCATGACCGCCGCGCTGCCATGGGCCATGGCCGGAGCCCGCCCTCATGGCCCCGCGGGCGCGCCCCGCCGCGCCGGGCCCCCCGGCATCGCCGCCGCCGCCGCCGCCGCTCAGCGGGCGCCCCCGCCGGCCCCCGCCGGGCGCGGCCTCCCCGCCATCCGCCGCCGCGCTGGGCCCGGCGGGAGCCGCCTTCCCCCGGCCGCGGACACGCCGCGCGCCGCGCCACGCAGGGGGAAGCGCCCGGCCGGGCGCGGGGCGGGGAGCGGTGTCCCCCCCTCCCCGCGGGGCGGGGGCGGGGGGGGGCGCCCCCACGCGTGGGGCCGGCCGCGGGGCTGCGGCCCGCAGGCGCCTGCACGGCGGCGGCTCCGTTAATGCTGGGCTCGCTTCCCCCCGCGTCCCCGTTCCGCCCCCCCCACCCGCCTGAAAACTTGGGTCGCATCCTCCGGCGTGAGCCCGTAACTGAGACGGGATGAAAATAATCAACGGCACGAGGAAAGGTTTGTTGTTTGTTTTTTTGTTTTGTTTTGTTTTGTTTTTTTCCTACGCTGAGTTTATTGTCTTTGGGTCTGAAGTACAGGAGTAGGCATGTATTTAAGAACGCTATCGCGTGTGGCTTAAACAGCCTTGAGTACCCATCTGAAAGGCTGAAGGACCGTAGGGCAAGAGCTGAAGAGAGTAGACACTGTATGAAAAATGAGTGGAATCATGCTCCCACTCATGCCAATGGCAAAAATCCCACTATTCAGTGACACTAGGCTTCCACCCCGGCAAGCTGTTTCCAACTTCACATTTTCAGATGGTGTGAAATACACTTACAGGCAAACAGAATACAGTTGCCTTCTCTGGTCTGCATATTTTTGCAGATTTATGCTATAAGCCCTATGCAATTACAGCAAAAGTTGGCACGCAACAGCGCAAACCACGAGGAGACCTCAGTGTCGTACAGTTTGTTTTTATTTGATCTGACATGATTGAGGAAGAAAATAATTGGAACTCCCACGTTGCACAACTCTTATCTGAATATTCAACAAAACATGTTTTCGAATCAGGGCAAAACAGAAAAGTTACTACTTGCAAGTTTTTCAGCTTTGTCGATCAAACTTTCATGCCTTCAGGCCACGGAGGGGGAAAGCAGGACGCCCAAGACTGCTCAGCTGAGATCTCCTCCCGATTCACCCAGAAAGCATCCACCCAAACCCACAAGCAGACAGAGGCTGCCCCAGGAGGTATTTCCTCAGCCCTTGGAAAATGCCAGCTATAAAAGAAAGCTGGATTTACCAAGAAGTCAGCTGGCAGCCGGCGCAGGCCTCGGCACGCAGGTCTCCCAGCGAGCCGCTTCGCCTAACGAGCAGGTATGTCCTGCACGAGAGGCTACTTCAGGATGGGTTTGGGGACTAGGTCTAGGGAAACTGCTTTGCAGTGATCTGACTCCTGCTACCTGAGGTTAGACATGCCCTGTACCCATGAGGGAGTTGAAAGCATGCAAATACGCAGTGGCCCGGGGGGATGTCCACTTCCTTTTTTCTGTACTTGCCAATGTGTATGTCCAGGAGCACCCAACACCCACATCCCTGGGCAACAGCACCCCAGGCCGCCGCCTGCGCAAGCAATGGGAAGTCTATTTCCTCCGCTCTGCTGCTTAATTGCTAGTGTTGCTTCTCAAATCCTGTAATCATCATTGTGAACTTGCACAGTCTCAGCCAAACGATTCTCATCCAGCCCGCCATCTCTCTCAGACAATGGATGGCCAATTAGCCTGCACTAAATATTTAGAGAAAATGAAGATATGAAGCTGGTAAACCGGCGCGCTTGCCTCGGCTCCCCTCACCAGCCCGGCGGGTCGCGCAGCCACGGGGAGTTGCGTAGCTGCAGGAGTGGGACCCCACAAAACCTGACAGGAGCCCCACGGCCGATACGGCTCTGTGGAATCACCCGCAGGGGCACAGGACTGCAAGAAGCCCTCAGGCGGTTTCACCCACGGCGTATTTCTTGTGCTTGTTTTTCATCCTTTGCAGACGTTATTTGCCAGCAAGCACCCACAGTGGTGCGATAAGGAGGGTGCAACAATAAGGAGAATATACTCACCAAATGTTCCTGGAAATTGATTTCTTCTCTTAAACTTTTCTGAATTTCTGCAGCTCCCTGAGAATGTGTTAGAGCCTCTGCCAGTGTCAACTGGTGTGGCTCCGTGGAAAAATTCAACTCAGCTTTATCATGGCACAATGAACAACTTACCAAAAATCACATCCTTCTTTTAGATAGATGAAGAATCTGTTCTGTGCAATACCCTTCCATTTTTCAGAAGTGCAAATATAAAAAATGTGTTAAAATAATTACTTACCTGTGACAAATGTTATTTTAAATATTAAAGACACTAAATCTAACCATTTTTCCCTAACTTCTTTCATAAGGTATTAAAATAAAACAGTATGAAATGTTAAAAGGAAACTTACCATCTTAGTAATGTTTAAAATGTACTTTTATTTTTTATTGTTTACTGTAAAGTTGTTAGGAAATGAAAAACAGTTCAATCTAATTTTTCACAAAAAATTAATTTCTAAGGACAGTTTGTGGCAAGTTCTAGCTTATGCACTGAACAGTTATTTCAGCATCACGTATGAGTGCTAGGCAGTCTATTTTTTTTAATTTTAGGAATTAAAATTTTGCTTTGCAGGACTTCTGTAAGACCTCTTTATACATATGAGGCTGAGCACCCACTGGGAGAAGAAACACTGCTAGATTACCCTTAGAAATAAGGCCTGTTCCAAATAATTCAGGTTAGTAATGGAGGAAGGTGTGTAGAGGAGAAGGTCTAAGAAAGAATGGGAAGCCTATGAGGACACAAGCCTAGTGAAACCCCATAGATGACCACGCAGCTAGATGACAGAAGGGAAACATTTATTGGAAACAGTTTCTGGGGTATACAGACTTCTGCAAGTGAGAACATGGAGTGGGACCGTGAAGTGGAATCACGAAGTCATTCATGTGAGTTACCAGCAGCAGGAAAACCAGAAGAGAAAGTGATGGAGCCAGGCCTCAGTAAGCAGAAAAAGACCTGTGCGGTCTATGGAAACAGGGAATAGGTGCTGCTTGAAAAGATAAATCTGTCCATCTCAATTATTAACATGTCTCTAAATTTAACATCAAAATTTACACAATGTGGTTATTTTCATCAACGGTGCTGCCACTCTGTGTTGTGAGTACACTCCAGCGTTTCTCAGTCCACATCCTCTTGTTCGCCTTGCCAGACAAGCCACGGTGCCTCACCTTGTCACCAGATTGATGTGCATGGCCAGAGAGTGGCCATGCGTCTCACCAGAGAGGTGGACGTCTTCCCATCTTGGGTGAAATGACTTCATGGGAGTAGCCAATATTTGAGGAAACACCCCTAAAAATGCCACATCCCAGCCAAAGCTCAAAATGGTGCATGAAAAACACTCAAATTAGTCCCACAAAAGTCCATTTTTTTTTTTAGGCATGCCTGTCTGTGCAAGATTGGAGCTGTGGTTTATGATTCTCCAAAAAAGCTTTTAGACTTACAAGGAATGTTAAGTCTTTAGGAAAGTCAGTGAAAAGGGCAATGTCATCTGAATGCCCTGTTTGCAGCATATCGTCTTTCAGACCAATCAATCTCTCATTTTCGAGCAGAGCTGTCCCTAAGCAGCAGAAGGTAACACCCGACTGAACATGAGCCTGGCTTTTGGTCAGAATGATTTATTGTTGTCATAAATGATGAGAATGCCATTTTTACAATTTATGAATCCGATCATTACAGTTTTACTTCTCTATCCAAGATTATGTAATGCAGAGAATGTTTATGTATCCCAGCTAATACAGAGGAAACTAATCACATATTTCTAATGTGCCAAAAATGGATAGGCAATTCAGTAGCTGCAGATCCAATTCTTCTGAATGTCAGTCTGTACTCTATCCCAAATATTATTTTAATCATTTACAAAAGCACTGGTACTAATTTCCTCTCAGTTGAAAGGGTCCCAACTGTGTGCTTGCTTCCCTCGTAATTTGTTTCATGAACACGGTCATGTCTCCAAGCAAAGGCATGCAGTATATAAAACCAGATTAAAACAGAATGACACATTTTAGGTCACCTGCTGTAGTCATCCAACTGCTAGAGCATGCTGGCTCTTTGCTGTTCTGTAGTTGTCCTCCCTCTTCCCAGAATGGGGCTGAGAGTTGCGAGCAGGGGAAACATCACTTGTCCTTTTCAGGGAGCAACCTAGTATGGTCCACCACGTGGAAGGCTGCTGCACAGGTCTCTTGAACTGTCTCATCTTATTCTGTTACACTCTTAGAGCACGTGATACTTCACTAACCACCCTGAATAATTTCCTTCCTTTTTGCTGGGATGTAACTGAGATGGGAGTCTTTAGTGGACTTTATACATGCCTTGCCAGTAGCAAAACTGTGGCACCAGGACCAAAACTAAAGCCCATTGATGAGAATAAGATACAATGTTTTAAAAATAAATTTGGCACTAGCCACTGGAAAGTGTCATAATAGCTATTCTGTGCTTTTTTCCTAATAACTTTAGTGCAGGAGCTTTAAAACTGGTCAAAGAAAATACATCAGTGGAACCCTTTTCTCGGAAAAGGCAGCTCCTTTGAGGTGAGTGGTTTTTGAAATCATGTGAATTCCATTAAAATGTTTTTATAAAGTCAGAAAAAATGTTCTGGCAGCTTCAAAGCACCCATTTTTTATATTTTCAGAGCAAAACATTTTATTTTCCAAATCACTATGGTTTTAATATAAGTTAGCATAGTATTAGAATATAGTGTAACATAAATGGAAAGGTGACATCGTTAAACATTTCAGTCAGTCAGCCTCACTTTTCTTCTAGATGTTCTTTTGAATGGATTTCAAAATTTTCAGGTTGCATTCCTAATTAGGACAAAGACATATCTCAAAAATGTTCATAAAACTGAATTTTCATCGTCTGCACAGCTTATGCGCTCCCTCATGCTCACGGCATGCTAAACTACAGCAGTAAGATAATATGTTCCCTTCTAACTCATAATACCTTTTCCCCCTTGATATCTCTTTGTTTGTCATTATTTTCAGTAATGAAGTGCCCTGGTTTCAACATCATTGTCCAAGTATAACCACCCAACAAGTGCTGTCCACTTCTGAGCTGCGATTCTTTTAGATACATGTTCCAAGAATTCATCTGATTTTGCTGCAATACTGTATTGCCACACTATTATTAATAATTGTTCTGCTGTAGCACAATAGAGTCTTATGTCCTTAATTAAGGAAAGTGTTTGATTTGAATAGGAACTGATGAAATATAGAGTGGAAAATGGTTTCTCTTCTGTGGAGTTTATGGTCCAATCCCTGAAGAAATTCAACGAGTGCACAACATATAAAAAGGAGAGCGAGTGAGTTGATAGAAACCATGGGTACATGCCTAGCTATCCAGGCTTCTCTGTCCTAAGAAATAGCTGTGAATCTGAATGGTTTTCCCCAAATTCTTAAGATCTTACTCAATCTTTTTCTTGATCTCTCTAGGGTAATTTATCCCATGCTGACTCCTGTAATACCCCCCAAATTAATGTTTGCTGCCAAATTTATTATCATGCTATTTACCAGACACTCTTAAGAAATTAAGGAAGACATTAAATATAACACTACTTTACTACAGTTGAAAAAGAAGTTTCCTGAAGGAGAAATGGAAGAAAAAAAGAGAGGGAAAGCCAAAGCAGGGTGAAGGACACTGCAGGAAATGGAGGGAGATAGAAGAATGAGGAAACAATGAATAGAAAAGTAGGGGTAGAAGAGATATCAAAAAAAAAAAAAAAAAGAAAGAAACAGCCAACTAAAAAAGGAACAAAATTGTCTAGTTCAGTTAACCTCTGAGAGGGTACTTAATTTCAAACATGAGAAGTCCACAGACCCAGGCCCATGCCTAAAATTAAGTTTGTGTTTCATTCAGTTCAACAAAAATAGCAGTTGGACTAGATGATCATTGTAGGTCCCTTCCAACTGAAATTTTCTATTCTATTCTATTCTATTCTATTCTATTCTATTCTATTCTATTCTATTCTATTCTATTCTATTCTATTCTATTCTATTCATTTTCTATTCTATTCATTTTCTATTCTATTCTATATTGCCATTTTCTACACAAGCATTTAAACCACTGGAGAGAATAAATCCCTTGGAAACTTGGTGAGATTAGGGCACCTACCTCCCACAGGTCTCTTGAAAAATCTGGGATTTCAACATATAGTATTCAGCTATAAAATAAATTATGCTAGCTCTCTTTTGGTGCTATTCCCTATCCAGTGAAGGAGCCTGAACAGAATAAATCACTACTCAGCTATTTAGCACTGGGCTAAGTGTCAAAAAGAAGCAGTTCTCTTCCTCTGGCCAACTTGGTGACAATTACTTGCAGTTCATCAGACATTCTGTTGGAAACAAAATGTGGATCACAGTGGGGCTTTTTGTACAGCTAGAGTCACCACCATTCACTGGCACAGAAGAGAGGACTAAGCAAGCAAACACTTCCTCTAAGCACTTAATATCCTCTGCTGATGCTACCTATATGGCTCCATACATCACCACAGTATCAGAACATCCCTTTCATGGTTGCGAAGAAATACATACCTCTGACTCATTCCAGTGCTGAAGACCGTATAGTCTGGCGTGGCTATTATGCACCATGGTGCAGCAAAAAGGAGAATGACGTAGGATCTTTAACCTTGGCTCAATACCAGAGACCAGGAGAGGTATTCTTGTTACAGGAACAGGGCAGGATTTGCATAGGGAATACGGACTCCTTCCTGACACCATGTGTTTTGGAACAAAACTAATCCCCTGAAATGTCTAGTTCTGGAAGGTTAAAGTTGAGCATCTTTTGTATGTTACAAATCATCCTCCAGTTCTACTGGCCTTACTGGAAGTTAGGGGCATTGCACAATGAATCTGTGAGATAACAGGCTTCCAGTTTTGTACTTTGCTGTACACTAGAGTTCCACAGGGCACCAGGATTGCTGCGGTGTTGTGTCTCAGTTTGCTGCTCAGGCCTGTGATTATCCCAGATGTGGCTCTTGGAGGACAAAATTAATGTTTTAGCAATCTCTTATTTTAGCTAAACGAAAGCCATCTTTGAGGAGCCAAAACCCCTTCAACTAAAGGAAATTGTGCCTAAGCCTAATCCATGTCTCTGGGACCAGCAGACACAATCGGGCCGTGTCCGTGACAATGATGCCTCATACCCTGCTGGGAGTGGTGCCTTGTCAAAGCTGACTTCTGCCTGGCGTTGGTGAGTTCCCTGCAAGAGTCCTGGTGTTGCTCCACACAAAACAACCCTCAAAAATGTTCTAGGGATATCACAGTGCTGACAACAGAGTCTTAGCATACCCTGCCTTTGTTTAATTTACTAGGATAGATGTCATCATTGCAAGGCCTATGCGTTCCGAATCTCATTTTTACTGAGCTGTACTAATTCCAATGCAAATTATTTCCCTTGGTTCTTACCAGTATTTATTATTGATCAATTCTGGTAAATCAGGTAGTATTTCTCTCCGTGGAAAAAACAACTAACCAAGAAATCCTCCAGCTCTAAACATACATAGATTAAAAAATACCTTTTAAAATTCCACTTATTACAAATGAATCTGTGGCTAAAGCTGACCTCTGGATTTTCCCCAACCTTTGACGAAGTCTGGGTTTGGGTCTGAAGTCTGGACTTCTTTCATCAGCTTCTTTGAAGCTGATTCTTCATCTGCTCGATAGGCAGAAGTAAGCCCCAAAACTATTTGAACTTCTGCACACCAGTAAGATTCAATTGTAAAGCCAAGTGCTGAAAGAAACATATTTCTTGGCTCAAGGATGTTTCACACAGAAAAATGTAGCCATATTTTATCCCATGCCAATTATCAGCTTCCTTGTAAAGTGCCTTGTAAAGTCTAGTGCCATGTGGAGGTAAGGAATGGTGATGGATGGGATACTGGGAAATGGGGGTGGATGGCAGAGAACAGTCAAGGGGAAGGTGGGGGGCCCCGCAGTCCCTCTGCTCAGTCTTGCTCTAGGACCTGGACCCACTTGGCACTAGGAGGGAAAGGGTAAGTCCTTTCTTGGCTGTCCTCTTCAACAATTTGTCATGTAATTTCGGATGCGGAGAATGCTGGAGGGGATTAAAAACCAGACCTGAGGACAGAAATCCAGACTCGGGGAATCTAGCATATACAGGAGAGCATGAGGCCGCAAGCGGCTTGCTGTGAAGCGTGCCTGCAGAGCAGAGTATCAGAGAGCAAAGAGAAACTCTTACAGTGCTAATAGCTTCTAAAAAGCTGATGTCTTAGTAAGGCTGGATGAGAAGAACATGCTGGAAATTTTCTCAGGCGGGGTTATATATATCCTGATAGAAAATGGAGGGGAGGGAGGAGAGGAGAGACCCATCATTTTCTTCTTAGGTGTTTGTTGTAATCAATGTGGAACTATAATTTCTGAGAATTCTCTCATCACACTGTCAATAACTTCACCTTACAAATACTTCAGTGAGTCATTTCACCTTCCATATAGCAATGGAGGACAGGGCTTTGGAGTCACAGGGCTCCATTTACTCCATTTCAGTGGTGCAGTAGTAACTACAAGCACCTAAAGAACCTGTAAGATTTACAAAAAATATGTCCCTATTAAAAACATTGCTTTACTGCAAAGATTTGCTAACATATGGTTAAGATTGCTCACTTGCTTCCATAAAGTTGAGTTCATCATAATTCAAACCTCTGAGAAACCGGGAAATACAGAGGATAATAAAGCAGTATCAACTTTTACAGCAATACCTCAATATATCTGTAATGGAAATAATTCATCTTTTCAGTGAGTGTCTTTCAGAGAACATAGTATGGAACTACTACAGCACTGGCTCACCTTCTCTTTGGAAAAGTGGGCTGTGTTTACAGTGACACTTCCTTTACTTGCATACTCTGGCCCAATTTCCTTGAAACCATTCCATAATAATTACATTTTTTCTTCCTCATTACTCATCAGTTATCAAAATTTGGTCACATATATATTATTAAGTCCACAGAATATTTTCCCTACTTTATTTTGCCCAAGTGCCAGTGTCTAACACATCTCTGTCTTCCAGAGCTGACTCAATGTACAGAACTCAGTTGTGAAAAGAGGCATGCAGCTATCTCAGGGTATATATATATGTTTTTCTTTTGATCCCATCCATAGAAGCGATGAGGCTGTGGCCCCATCTGAGAGGTATGGCCTCCCATCTTTCCTACTATCATAGTTTACCAAGTCTGTTACCATTTGACACAGCAATACTCAACTCAGCAAATACTGCCGGTTCCCTATTCTTATTGCCAGCTCCCAGGAGGGAAAAAAAAGGTTGCCTGAATGTTGACCTAAACTCAGTATTTCCTGGCTTCCAAAAGTGAATTTTGCTGAAGCTGATATTTTATAAGGGCTCCAGATACTGCCAGGGAATCCTAACTCTGCATTAATTAAGGGGTTTTGTCAGGCAGTAAGAAGGAAGGATGCTTTAAGGACCTGAAATTCTCTCTTTCCTTGATCCTCAAAATATGGCTTGAGAGAGCATCTCTGCAATGTGTTCGTCTGTGATTCAGGATGAGAAAAAAAACTTGAAG